CTCTTGTTGCATAGGTCCTGCTTTACCTTGGTCTTAACCATCCAGCAGAAAAGTATAAAAATGAAATATAAGAAGTAAAGCCATGCTGTTAGATGGAGCTGTAGGGGACTCAGGTCAACAATTTCTGACATTTCCAGTCAAGCGGAAGACCCAATAGTGTTATGGGGTACTGGACTCTTTTAGACTATTTTGCTGAGTTTACACACCTATAATATTCAAATAATGGAACTTAACCAAAAAAGGGGATACAGATGAATATCCGTTTTGTATCTGTGTATTCAAAGTGGTTAGGATAGATATATAGTTACATTCTCTTAATGAATAGAGTGATTTGTTCTAATGGTGTTAGGATATCAAGTCCACATCTTGTACAGCAATTAACCACTAGGCAGAAGGTACGCAATGTGTTAATTATTGAAACTGTCCTACCAATTTGATTTGAAACTGTCTTATTGCTATTTGTTTATCAATACAATTATGGCAAAAAAAAGAAAAGACATTTGATAAACTTTACCCTTGTGATGTTGGCATTTTGTTTAACTTGTAGGGTTTTTTTTTGCTGTTAAGAAAACTGGTCCAAAAATGGTTGTAGTATTTCAAGATGACATGAGCACAGCATGAACAGTAGTTTAAACATTATAAAATAGATACAGGCTGTATTTCAGAAAAAAATAATATACCTTAATGACTGTGTATATCAATGTTCTAGAGTTGTGGGGAAATATTAATAGCAAAGAAGTAAATGTAGACACAATATAGTTTCTCATTTCTTTGTTGAAAACATAAAATAAAGTCACAGAAGAAAAATTATCTCTATAAATCACTATAGTTATAATCACTGTTACAATTTTAGGAATGCCAGTATAATTAAAAAAAATTATTTTCTAAATGATTAATTATATAGGATATACATCCTGATTGCCATGTGGAATCCATAAACAGACAGGTGGGCATGGTATACAGTGAAGCAGGTTATTTCACTGTTACTTATCACATAGTACCAAATATATGACATACATTTTTGAGAGTACACATGGTATTATTGTAGTACTCTGAGCAATTTTGCCACCTCACACATCATGAAGACACATAAACATTGGTTTGGTTATGAAAAACACACACACACACACACACACACACACACACACACACACTTGGGTCATTAACTCCCACCAGCCCCAAACCTGAAGTACTAACAATAAGTGATCTTTGACAATCAATAAAAATTTGGCAATTTCATTTGTAAAATTACTTTGAAGATTATGGAGATTAACTTGCTGTTGATGCCACTGACCAAAACCTGAAAGTAAGGTATACTGGCGAATGTGTGAAATTGAAAAAGTTTAATGTTTTGTGTATTGTAGTTGCTAAAAAGCTTGCAAGTGAATATGGCCTAAAACGTTTATCAGTAGGAGAAGCTTTGAGAACTGTACTGAACCACCACCCAGAAACAGAGCTGGCGCTTATGCTAAACTGGCACCTCCATAAGGGGATGGCAGTGCCAGAGGAGCTAAGTATTCAAGCCTTGGACCTTTCTCTGATGGACAGTATATGTAATACTGCAGGGTGAGTGAGTGGGATAAAGGTGATACATCTTTCAAGAACTGTCTCTGTAGCAGTCTAAGATACTTATTTACAGGGTTTAAACCTCTTGTAAAAGGCAAAAGCTCCTTCTGAAGCACTTGTAAAGTTTGGCCTGAGACATATAATGCCTTCCCCATGCTTTCTAGTGAAGTCTGCACACTCCAGCTGAAGTCTCATGGAGGGGAGAGGAGTGCAAGTGAACATAGTTAGAAATTGTGAGCTGTATGTGTATGGATATATATTTTAATTTTTGTCAAGTTGAAACAGCTTTGGAAGAATTTGGGAGAAAATACATGTAATGCCTTCACTATACAGTCAATTGTTAGTACCTTATATACAGTAATGGTTCTCCAAATCTTCAAACAACTCTGTGGGTTAAATATCATTTTCATTATTTTTACTAGAAATTGATGCTCAAAGAGTTTAAACCAGGTTTCAAGTCTAGACCTGCCTTTGTGCCATCTACTGTTCATGCTTTAATTATACCAATGGAATATATAGTGAAGACATTATGTGTATTTTATCCCAAATTCTGCCAAAACTAAGTCCTGTGATGCTAAGTGTATAAATCCCAGCCTCTCTCATCTTTGCACTCTGAAGTACACATACTGCTTACCCCAAGGCTCTTGGGCTGACTGAGGTGCAAGATGTGAGAAAGAGCAAGGAGAAGTACAATGAAGAGAATTGGAGTTACATAAGGAAAAGCTTGTGACTACTACTACAAGGATGAACTAGAATAGATGAGAGAAGGGAATTAAGAAAGAGAAGAAATGTAGACTTTTATTTTCACTTTTTTCTTTATTAGTGTTGTTATTGATGGATACCCTGTAACTACACACCAAATGGATCTCTTAGAAAAAAGATCAATCATTCCCATGATTGTCTTTGAATTGGATATACCTTCTGAGGAGATTTTCAGAAGATTGTTCCTGGAAAAAAAACGTGAAGCAAGGTAACATACATGATGAAAACAATAAGAAACAAGCTTTAGTTATGCAAGGAAGAAAGTATGTTTTAAACAGCTTTTTCTTTTCATCTTGTTTCTCTATTAGTTTGCCTTATCCATTGCACAATAGTGAACAGATTATAGCTATCAAGAATGCAATGTACCATAAGAATGTTGGTGCAATTAGGCAATGTTATAAAGAACAACATCAAAACTGGTATGTGATTGATGGATTTCACAGTAAATGGTGGGTATGGAATGAAGTCATTAAGACCATTCAAATGGTGAATAAACATATGCAGAAATACTTGGAAAGACTAAAAGAAGGTAAGAAAATAATTTAAAATAAAATGTGAAATCAAAGCTTTAACATCCCCAAATCATATCACTATAGCTTATTAGGTTTAAATATCCATCTTCACAATCTTTTTTTTTTTTTTTTTTTTTTGGTGGAACCGGGGATTGAACTCAGGCCCTTGTGCTTGCCAGGCAAGTGCTTATTCCAGAGCCATCTACCCGGCCCCTGTCTTCACAATCTTAATCTTAAAATATTCTATATTTTAGATATAGAATACTATCCAGTCACTATGGTGCTCTGATCTGAGTAATTGGCTTCCCCATTCACATGTTGAAATCTAGTCCACAGTGCAATAGCAGGAAGAGGTCAAGTCTTTAGCGAGTAATTAGCTCAGGAATGCTCTGTCCTGGTGAGTGAGATCAGTGCCTTCATGGATGAGACTGGGGGGAATCTATTTGCCCTTTCCTCTGTGCCAGTAGCAGCAAGAAATTTCCATCTCTCAGGAACAGGCTCTCATCAGATACAAAGCCTCCAGAAATATGAATAGTAAATTGCTGTTCTTCATCAATTACCAGGTCTAACATATTTGGTAGAGCAGCCCAAAAGATTAAGATATGTGGGATTGTATATTTGTTCTAAAAAAATGACTGCTGCTACTTAAACTATCATTTTAAATTTTTATTAATATATATTTGCAGTATACAATGCTTACATTCCTAATATTTATTTATTTTTAATTGACATAATAATCATACATATTTATGGACTATACTGTGGTATTTCAAAACAGGGTATATAAGGGAGAGATGATGGATCTCAAGTTCTAGACCATCCTAGGCTACATAGCAAGTTTAGGACCATCCTGGACTGCATAATGAGACCCTTTCTCAAAAAGAAAAGAAAAAGAAAAACACAAGGAAAAAAATATTATAAGCATACAATGCACAATGATCAAATCAGGATAAACAATACTTTCACCTCACTATGTCTTTGTTTTTAACCTTTGAATGACTCTCTTATAGTTCTTCATAAATTATTTAAGTTGTATACTACATTCACACTTTTTAAAACTTTTATTTTATTGAGAAACAGATACCCATGTGACAGTTTCAAAACAGGTTAGTAGGACAGTTATACTATATTGGATTATTTTGCTGAATTCATGCACCTACAATATTTAAATGGCAATGGAATACTCATCTCTGACAAAGTTAAACAAAAAAAGGGATATGAATGAAGGACCAATTTGTATCTGTGTATATATTCACACTACTGTGCAATAGAACACTAAATTTCATTCCTCCTCATTGTATTTTGGTAGCCATTATGCAACCTTCCTCTACCTTCCTTGTCCTTCGCTTTGTAGTTTATAGTAATCACTATTCTGCTCTCTTCTCTTTTGAGAACAATTCTGTCCACATTCTCACTATCAGTTTTTGTTTTCTCTGTTATCGGCATTCTGAGATGTGATCTGACTATGGTTTTGAATTGCATTTTCCCAATGTCTAGTGATTTTGAGTATTTTCTCATATACTTGTTGGCCATATGTAAACCTTATTTTGAGATAATTGGGTCATTTGGGCAGTTTTTAATGTTGAGTTCCTTATGTATTTTGTATGTTAATCTCTTGTTAGATGAATAGTATGCAAATATTTTCTGCTAGTCTGTAAATTGTGTATTCATTCTGTTTATTGCTTCCTTTGCTATGTAAGCATCTGTAGCTTTTTTTATCTGTAGTTTTATGTAATCCTATTTGTCAATTTCTCTTTCAATTGCATGTGCTTTTATGGTCTGATTCAAAAAAACTGTTGCCTATACTAACTTCTAGAAGTTCCTGCCATATATCTCCTAACAGTTTCATAGTTTTTTGTCTAACGTTTAGGTCTTTGATACACTTTGATTTGTAGGTGATGATTTTGTATGGATTGAGATATGATGTGAGAGTGAGACAAGGCAAAAACTTAATCCAATTATGGGATTCAGAGTTGAGGCCTTTGGGAAGTGACTAGGATTAGATAAAACTACTAGGCTAGAGCCTTCAGGATTAGTAGCTTTACTGAATATAAGAGAGGTCAGAAGAAGCACACAGTACATATACGCTCCCTATTTTACCACATGATGTTCTCTATGACCTTGTGACTCTTCCAGCAAGGTCATTAACAGATGGTGGCCCCTAGACCTTGCACCTTAGAATCATGAGCCCTGTAAGTCTCTTTTAAAAATAAAGTTACCCAGCTTCCAGCATTTTGTTGTACTGATACAAAATGGTCTTAACACAGAGATAGGGCTTCATTCTTCCGCGTAGGGATATATAGTTTTTGTAGAACCATTTCTTGAAGATACTGTCTTTTCTCTAGTTAGTGTTTCTGTGTTGAAAATCAGTTGGCTGTAGATTACAAACTTATTTCTAGGCCCTGTATTCCATTGGTTGATGGGGCACCTTTTATGACAGTACCATGGCATTCAAGATTTCACTTATTGAATGCCTATGTAAATCTAAGGCATAAAAATAATTCATAATCTCTCATTTTTATATTATTTGAAATTCCATGTAAGAGCTATTTCTCAGAATTCTTGGGGTAGTTTCATGGGGGCAGTATTCTGGAGTGATACTTTGAAATATTTAGGAATCTACAATTAAAATTATTTTTACTATTTATGTTCCTGGTGTTATGGTATAAATGTTCAATTAAAAATAATGCACTTGATCTTTGAATATATTTTAATCTGTATAAAACTTTTTATGTAATTCTATTAGTTTCTTGAGCTTTCTCTAAAAATACACAAAATATAAGGAGCATGATCTACATAAGATATTTTTAAAAAGAATAATGACCCAAAAGTTATTATCTGTGTAGGGATCTTATAGATATCTGTATAATTATTTTGTTTCACTTCAGAAATTATGGAGAAGAAATAAGATATATATGGGAGCAACATGACTAAGAGAATCTTTTAGAAATAAAAACTGAGTGAGGAGTGTAATGATAACTGCATCATTGTGTCTTGACTTGGTTCATCATTTGGACATAACCAACATCTGTGTGTCCTGTTTTTCTACAGGCCAGGAATCTGTTTTTACTTGAGTACTTATAGTGCATGGATGGAAATGCACCAAGCAAGGGAGAGCTGGGGTCTATGGCATCTTCCCAATAAGCTCTAGGTAGCACCGTAGAAGTAAACTCCTCCTGACCGACTTTGGAAACGAAAATTGTGCCTCTTTCACTCTTCTCTTACTTTATTTCACCTTCTCTGTCTTAGGTCTTGCAGTGGATTCCCTGGAATCAGACTGGAGTTAAAAATTCATAAGCAGATACTTTCTAAGCAAGTGCTCTCTGGAGTGGAATTGGCCAGATTTAGAAAATACAAATACAGGATAGGACAGATGTGGCACTACATGCCTGTAATCCCAGCTACTCAGAAGGCTGATGCAGGAGGACTGCAATTTTGAAGGCATCCTGGGCAACTTAGTGAGACCATCTCAAAATAAAAAATAATAAATCATTGGTAGATAGTGTTTGGGTTTAATTCCCAGTAATTGAACCCCAAGACACTCAGTTAAGTTTGAATGTCAGATAAATAGTGAATGATTTCCAATGTAAGTATGTCTTTTGAGACTAACTCATGGCCTTCTAAATTACTGTTACTAAACCTCTCAGGATTTATGATGTTCAGAGCATCTGAGCTAGAGAGTAGCTGGGAATACATAATATTTCAAAATGATAGTATCATGGAGTAAAATACTATAACATATATTGCATTAGTTAGTTTTTCTTCACTGGCACAAAATACTTGACAGACCTAGCCTAAAAGAGAAATAGTTCACTTTGGTATATGGCTTCACATCTGTCAGTCTATGACTGGCTGGCATTTTCTCATATATTTGTTGGCCATATATAAACCTGGCTGGCTCCCAGGGATATTGTAGAAGACAGACATGTTATGGAAGAAGGGAATGACCAGAGAAAACTGCTTGCCTCGTGGCACCCAGGCAACAGACAGAGCAAGGATAGGCCAGAGAGAAGGAAAGGAACTGGGGATAATATGTATCCTTCAGGGGCTGAGGATTTAGTTTAGCTATAAAATGCTTCCCTAGCAAGCTGGAAGCATTGGGTTCAGAACCAAAAACAAAAAATAAACAACTGAAAACCAAAAAGGCAAAAAACACAAAACAACAAAAAGATGCACCCTTAAAAAACATTCTCTTTGCTGCATCTCCCACAAGAATGAAGACCATTCTTAACAATCAGACTGTCAACATTCCAGAAAATGTAGACATTACTCTGGAAGGATGCAGAGTTATTGTGAAGGTCCCCAGCGGAACCCTGCAGAGGCACTTCAACCACATCAACGTGGAACTCAGTCTCCTTGGGAAGAAAAAGAAGAGGCTCCAGGTTGACAAATGGTGGGGAAACATAAAGGAGTTGGCAACTGTCCGCACGATCTCTAGCAATGTACAGAACGTGATCAAGAGGATCATGCTAGGCTTCTTTTACAAGATGAGGTCTGTGTATGCTCACTTCCCCATCAACGTTATTCAGGAGAATGGGTCTCTTGTCGAAAGCCAGAATTTCTTGGCTGAAAAATATATTCGCCGAGTTCATATGAAGGCAGGTGTTACTTGCTCAGTATCTCAAGCCCAGAAAGATGAGCTAATCCTTGAAGGAAATGACAATAATCTTGTTTCAAATTCAACAAGCCACAACAGTCAAAAACAAGGATATCAGAAAAATTTTGGATGGTATCTATGTTTCTGAAAAGGGACCAGTTCAGCAGCCAGATGAATAAGATCCAAGAGTTAATTCAGCCAGAGAAACAAGCTTCTGGATTGTAAAAATAATCTGTGATATTTTAATGAGACAATAAAATATCTTTATTGGAAAAATAAAAGATGTACCCTCCAAAGCCACCCTCACAGTGATCTACTCCCTCCAACCTGGAACCACCTTCTGGCCCACAGCTCTGAACTCATCAGTTGATTGACCTAATGATGAGATGAGCAGCCTTGTGATTCAGGGGCCTCTTTAAGCCTCTTCTCTGAACACTGCAGTACTGAGTATTGATCCCTCAGTACATGAGTCTTTGGGGGTACACTGCATATTTATGATACATTGTACAGTTTGACATTACTATATGCTATTTTGCTATACATATGATAGTATTATATAATAGTTTAATAATATTATATCATGATTGTATTATTGCAAAATATTCTTTATAAGAAGGAATATTGGGGTATCATAGCTTTTCATTGGTGTCATAAATAAGAGATACAATAATTATACATTTCTATTTCTGTATAAAAATTATTCTAAAACATAGTTGCTAGAGTAACACATAGATACCCACACAGTTTCTACAGGCCAGAAATCTACAGAATTACAGATTTTAATCCTACACAAGGCTATAATCAGGGCCTCTAATGTAGTTGGGACCTTAAATGTCCTTAAAAGCTCACATGTTAACAGCTTGGTCCCTAGTTGAGGGTATTGTTTGGAGGAGGTAAAAATTTTACTTATGAGTTGGGGCCTAGTTGTAGGAAGTAATCACTGGGGTATACACTGGAAGAGGACTTTGGTACCTCTGTCCTTTACTTGCTTTTTCACTTTCTGGATACCATGAAATGAGTAGTTTTGCTTCTGTCATGCTGTACCACCTTATCACAGGACAAAGCAATCCAAGCTAAATGACAGTGGACTGAGACCTATGAAGCCATGAAACAAAATGGCTTCTTCAAGTTGATTTCTTTGAAGCTTTTCATCATAGTAACAGAAAGCTGAGTCTGTAGCCCCATAAGACTACAATCAATCTGTTGGCCAGGATTATTGTGTCTCCTACAGGCTCTACTACACATCCACATTTCTGACAGGGTTCAGTTCCTTGAAAGTTATTGGCTTAAGTATTTCTTTTCCTCACTGAATACAGCCATATTGACCTCTTCACTATGGCACCTTGTATTAACTAAAAATGCCGAAAAGGCCAACAAGACAGAAGTCATGGCATCTTATAATTGCTTAGTGTCCTAGGGCAATTAAGATACAAGTACCAGAAATGGAGTGGCTTAAATTACAGAAATGTATTGCCAGGCAAGCCAAATAGCTCAGCAGATTAAAACACCTGCATGCAGGTGCAGGGGCCAGGGGTTCAATCCCTGGGCCTGTCATGCTGGCCCTGCCCTGGGGCACACTGAGATAGCCATTGAGACTGGGTGTGGTGGTGTGCACCTATAATCTCAACTCTTGGGAGGCTGTAAACAAGTGGATCACTATGAGTAGTAAGACCCTGAACACACTGTAGATCCTTCCCTAAAATACAGAAAAAGTGTATTGTCTCATAGTTTGGGAAGCTGAAATTCAAAGTCAAGGTGTTGTTAAGGCCATGAAGACTCTAGGAAAGATTATTCTATTTTCTATTCTATTCTATTCTATTCTATTCTATTCTATTCTGTCCCGTCCCGTCCCGTCCCATCCCATCCCATCCCATCCTATCCTATCCTATTTTCTGTCTTTCTCTTAGTTTCCAGCAGTTCTTTGGCTTATGGATACAACACTCCAGTCATCATACAGGATTCTGTGTACCTGTCTGTCTCTGCATCTCCATCTTCAGTTCTTTTCTCTTTGCCTACCTCTATGCATCTATCCATTTCCAATAGGGTCACATTCATAAGTATTGGGGATACATCTCTTTCGAGGAGGCACAACTCAGTTCAAACCAGCAAGGAAATCTTGTAACATCCTTTCACTTTTGTTGTATTCTGTTAATTAGAAGTAAAGTAGTAGATTCAGCCCACATACACAGAGAGATGATTTCCAAGTATGTGAACACTAAAACGCATGAATCCAGAGAACACTGGAGCCATATCAGATCAATCCACTCAAAGACACACTTGATATAATGAAGGCATATACAATCAGAATTATGTTCAAATTAATAGAGTAAGAATGTTAGGTGAGAAATATTTAATGTTATGAGACTTGGTGAATTTCAAAGTCACTTTGTCTTGAGGCAATAATACTACCCTAGAAAGCTTTCTCTTAATACTGTGAAAAATGTACAAAGACATTCAAGGGATTTTATCCACCTGGCACTCTTGACACTTCAGACACCAGACATCTTCAGAACCTAATGATATAGTCAGGATTCATGGTTGCTGTCTTTGTTGGACTTAAAGGCAAAGTGTCCAATTTATCTTCACTACTTTGTTGTCATAGATTTTGCCCTTTAGAGAAGTATACTATGCACATCAGTTTATATCCTAAGAGCCTGTTAGGAATAGTGCTGACACTGCACTGATGATTCATTGTTTTCAGGAGGTGAAAGGGCCCCAGATATGGCAAATAAAAGAGCTTAGCATACATTAGGGTGTTTCACATACGATCACTTCTATCTCACCAGACAAAGATACCAAACCATGATTTATGTTTCACAGTTGTAAACCCAAAGACATTTCTATACATAATCCAAATAAAAAGGTAGTACTCTCCTTGATAAAAAGACGATAAAAATATACTGGCATCAGAATCTAATTGTTGGGGCCAGGGAGATGGTTCAGTGGAATAAGTGCTTCCCTGGCAAGTGCAATGGTCTGAGTTCAATCCCCAGTTGCGAAAAAAAAAAATCTAATTGTTATATAGAGATGTGTGAAAAGTAATTTCATTTTCTATCACATCTCATATTGCTTTGGAGTCCACATGCCAGTGGACTATATCCATGAAAGGAACTTGAGCTCTTCCTTTCTGAACTAGATTCTTTGGAATAAATATAGTCAGTTTTGCATAAATGTTTTCTCCCTTCCCTTGGATCACATTGGGGCATGGGGAGAAGTTTATGTCAGTAAAATCATATGAATAATATATTCATACTTACTGAAATCTATCCCATAGGAAATTTAAAAATATTTGCAAATATATATGCTTGTGTATACATGTCCAAACATATACTTACATGCCCACTTACAAACACAACACACTTATATATAAATTATGTATGTACATATTATTTATAATTTATAGTTTATAATAGCTAAGAACTAAATCAAGTAAACTATATATGTATATTTATACAATGGGTTATTATGCATCAATTTTAAAGAATTAAGTAGATCATATAAACAAATATGGAAAGTTATCAGAGACCATAACTAATCAGTAAAATTTAACCGTCAAATGATGTTTATAGTATAGTGGTGTAAGCACACTGTATGCAGAAAGATGTATATATACACAAATGGGTATAAAAAAGACTTTTTGTTGGTGTGTGTAAAATCCATAGTACTGTGTGATTGAAATTATTAAGCTTTTTTGTGTTTCCTATGAGAATTATATAATAACAGTTAATATGTTAAAAATAGGAAAAGCTGCCTGCATTGACAAGTTATGTATCACACCTCAAGAGCTGATTTCTCGCCTGGGAGAATTTGGACAGTTCTGCCCCGTGAGCTTGGCAGAATCATATGAATTACTTGATTGTTCTGAAATGGACTCCTTGGAATTTGCAGCAGAATTTAGGGGGCACTATTATAAAATGAATTCACAAGAAAAACTAAATGTAAGTTTGGTCCTAATCCAAATCTTTTTTTTTTTTTTTTGTATTTTAGGGAAGGGTCTACAGGGCGTTCAGGGTCTCATTACTAGATCAGACTCATAGTGATCTGCCTGTTTACAGCCTCCCAAGAGCTGGGATTACAGGTGTGCACCACCACACCCAGTCTCAATCACCATCTCAGTGCACCCTGGTGCTGGGACTGGCCCAGCAGGCATGGGGATTGAGCCCCCAGCCCCTGCGCTTAATCCAAATCTTCACTCATGAAGGAGTATCCTTTATCTTTCAATTTGTCAAATAGCAATGTGGGGTGAGTACATCTGGGAAACTCAGAAATCTGGGACAGAGCACCATTCTTGGACCTGTGACAGCAAGCCTAGTGAAAAGTTCAAAGTGGATGGTGAGACACATCTGAGGTTATATTCTTAAACAAAGCAGAAGTCCTTAGATCATGATGGACTCTTGGCCTTGGCTGGACAATTTGTTCAGCAGTCACTCGTAGCCTCTTGATGGAGGGGAGGATGAACATTCAGCTCTGTGAGGATTGCAAAATGGAAGTCAAAGTCAGTAGAAATGAAGCAAGAGCTGGTGCTGGTCTCCTGAGCTTCAACATTTGTTTTATCACTGGAATTCCCCAGTGACTTTAAACAGTTGTCCCTCAGTATCCAAAGAGATTGGCTCCAGGACACCTTTGCTACCCTTGCCAAGAACACCAAACCCATGGATGGTGAGGTCCCTCATATAAAACAGCAGAGTTGGGGCTGCTGAGATGGCTCAGTGGTCTAAAGCACCTACTTAGAACAAGCTTAGCAAAGCACAGGGACCTCGGTTCAATCCCCAGCACCACATGCCAGCCACCCCGCCCCCTGGTGGGCTGAGCTGGCCACATACACACACACACACACACACACACACACACACACACACACACCAGCAGAGTTTTCATATGACTTATACATACCCTTTCTTATACTTAAAATCATCTGTAGGTTACTTATAGTACCTAATGTAATGTAAATGTCATGTTTGGAAAATAACGAAAAAATTGTGCATGATCAGTACGAAATCAATTTTGTTTTTCTGAGTATTTTCTGTGTGTGTTTGACTCTTGGGATACAGTGCCTACTTATTTAGAGGGCCAGCTCATCTATGTCTGTCTTGGTTACTTTTATCATTGAGACAAAATACCCAACTCCCAAGTGCAACCTGAGACCATATTCATAAGTGAAATAAGTCCGATTCACATGTGTGAACATTGTATTGTCTCCCTGGTGTGAGAAACTGAAAGAATAAGTAAGTTTTAAAATATACAATAGTTATTGTGACATGGCAAGAAATTGTTCCAAAGGAAAAAGAAACTAGGATGGGTGAAAAGAGAAAGAAAAGGTGGAAGTGAAAATGGAAAACGCAAGTCAGTTACACTATTAGTGTCTCTTTGTTCATTAAAATGGAAGATTTGTGCTAATATCAGTTGGAGAAATTTTATGCCCATATCTTGTACCCTGAGCAACTACTTTAAAGGTAATAATATGTAATTCATTAACTATGGTTATTCCTCTATTATTTTGTTATGAAATTTTGTTTTATCTTTTTTCCATAAAATAAAAAAATTAAAATTAAAAAATGCTCAACACCCAAAGTTAGAGGAAACATTTATTTGTCTCACAGTCTGTAGAGGTTTCAGTCCATAATTGGCTGGCTTCAAGACAGGGTGGCCTGGCAAACAGGCATTGCAGAGGAGAGACAGTTCATGGCAGGCAGAAGGTAGTGGAGCAAGCAAGGCACAAGACAAGTCTCTTTCTGTACCTTATGTTGTATCCAGGGTACAAGGATTAGGGCAGTGCCATGAAAATCAGTAGACTGATTTAATAATTACCACCCTTAGCCCTACCATTGCGCCATAAATCAATCACATACTCTAGATTTATCCACCTCTAAAAAGCCCCACCTATGACTGCATGAGGCTTTAGGAGGATATCTAAACACAAGTCATAACAATGCCAATGGATATGGAAGACTAACCACATTTCTGTATAATGGAAAGAAAGAGTTTTGTTCTGTATCATATTCATGTCTAATAAAATAAAAGGTGATATTTGAAAGACAATCATGGGAACTAATAAGGTGCCTGGTCATGGAGTAGGAGCTCAACAAATGTTTTTGTATCAGCTAGTGAGATAAAGAGAAACCTTAGACTACTTAGGAGGATTACCACAAGGGACCTCCTGTAGGAAGGTAACTCACATGACTGGAAAGGCAGAACACTACTCCCGAAATGGGGAAAGGATTGGACAGCCTCTGTGATTTTTTTGACCTACATATGAGTGTTGTTTCAAATTATCTTTCTCCTAAAATCTTTTTTAATAGAAATTTTTGAAGAATCCGGAATTGTATGTGCCTCCCTTAGCACCTCACCTACTACCATCTGCTGACATGATCCCCAAAAAGCTAACCCTATTAGAACTGAAGAGTCGATTTCCAAAGTGTGCTGAGCTCCAGGGCTACTGCCCAGTGACCTATGAGGAGGGAGAACACAGGCAAGTTCTTTTGTCCTTGAGAAGTGCAGAAACTATGCCTTCCTGGGGTTGTGTAACAACCTTAACGCTTGTGTCAGATAAATAGATACAGAAATGTGGTGTTTATACACTGTGCCACAAAGAAAGGTAAGTGTGTCATTTGTAGGAAAGTAGATGCACCTACAGACCATACTGTTAAGAAAAATAAATCAATCCCACAAGCTTAACTTTCACACAGTGATAGTTTCTTCTTATATGAGAAAACTAACGTAAAAATAAAAACCAAAATAAAAGACAGATAATGAGAAGAAGGAGGTTAGATCTTCTCAAAGGGGAAGGGGATCAAGAGATATGGGGAAAGCAAGGAAGGATGGAGGATGAAAAGAAAAATTAAGATATGTTATGTGCATATATAAACTCCATACAAGAAATGTAAATGTTATGTGCTGCAAGCATGTACAAAGAAGAAGAAAAAAGATTTGAGTGGGGAGGGGGGAGTTAGGAAAGGGAAGAGGATTGTACTAGTTACTTTTTTCCTGTTGCTGAGACAAAATGCTTGATGCCCAAAATTAATGAAAGAAGGGCTTATTTAGCTCACAGTTTGTGGAGGTTTTGGTCCATAATCAGCTGCCTCTGAGGACGTGTGGCATGGCACAGAGGCAATACTTCAAAGCAACCAAAGACCGCAAAAGAACAACAGCAGAATGGGGAGAGCAAGCCTTTTTTCCTCATTTGTATGCCAACTATGTGCCCAAAGAATCTCCATGTTCTCTTCCACAAACTCAGTATGTGAGGACCCTGGCCCCCTGCTGAGTTATTTGTTTAAGCTTCAAAATTTTTCAGTTCTCACAGTTCCTATAAAAAATGTAAACATTATGTACTGTATGGATGTGTAATTTAAAAAGCTTACTTTTTTACCTGAGGAAATGCTTTGTTTTTCCTTAAACAGCATAGGTAGAAAAACAAAACATTTTTGACATCTTATTTACATAGTACTGCATAGTAATTACATCATAGGGTATTGTTTTTATCTTTCAGATATGACGCCTTAGTACCTGGTAACAGTAACTATGCTGTTGAGTATCATGATCGTATATATCTTTGTGAGAATAAAGAAAAACTCCAGAAATTTTTGAGGTGAGATTATTCATTATATTACAGATATTTATTGGATATCTGAGATAGAGGACTAGTCTTTCCTGTCCCCAAATCTGAGTCTCCAGGCCTGTTTGAATACCTGATAACAAGCAGGCACAGGGGAACACACTTGTAAGGATGGATAAGGCAAAAGGATCACTGCTGGTTTGAGGCCAGCGTAGGAAACAAAATGTGATGAGGCTCTAAGAGTGGGGAAGTACTTGGAGTTCTCAGGAAATGTCTGAATAAGGAAAGGGAACAGGCTAGATCACTTGTGGAAAACCCCTGGTTCATGTGCGATAGTGGGTTATTTGTTATCATTGAAAGTGTATAGTTTTTGTATCAGCTAGGGAGATAAAGAGAGACCTTAAACTACTTAGGAGGATTACCACAAGGGACCTCCTGTAGGAGGAGAGTAACTCACATGATTGGAATGGCAGAGCATTACTCCTGAAATGGGAAAAGGATTCACCATCGTTGGATAAAGGAAAAGAGGGACAGATTCCAAGCAGAGGAGGGCCAGGGAGACAGCTCAGTGGCTTAAGCATCTGCCTGGCAAATGCAATGTTATGAGTTTGATCTCCAGTACCAAAAAAAAAAAAAGATTGCAAACAGAGGGGTTTCCAACCATCCTTGCCTTTGCCTTGGGGATCTCAGAATTGGAAAACTTCAGCATGACTGAATATGATGCTATGAGGGAAAAGAGAGAGAGGTAAACTGGAGGTGATGAGCAGAGCTAGAGTTTAAGGTCAAATAAAACCGCCAGCCAGAGCCTGGCTTGACTCTGAGGGCTCTGACTGACTTGAAGCTCTGGGAAGGTGTTACAGTTATTCAGCTTTGGAGTGAGATCACTGTGGGTTGGAAGAAGGAATGCAGTTTCAGGCTGAAAGAATGATCCTGGCCAGAATACTATGGCATGTTCAAGCTTCACCTTGAATGTAGCAGGGTTGGGGCCATGCCCTGAGTATTGTACACCAAGGTTGGAGGTTTCCAAGAGAGGCAGAGAAAGGAGAACCTAAAGAGGTGGAAGGGGAGGCTGGCAGGAGGTAGGAAGGCTGCAGGAGGAGCAACTGTGGGAATGTGTGGTCAACAGGCTGAGTGCTGCTCCAGGCTGGGCCACCCCAAGGCCAGAAAGCATATGATACTGAGGCTGTGCAGGACATTGGTGATCTTGGGCAGTAAGCTTAGGAGACTGAGGTGAGCTAGAAGAGGTGCGGGAGAGTAAAGGAGATGAAGACCTGGTCTGTAGCTGAGTGACTACATGCAAATGCTGCAACAGCCATGAGAAGGGGCAGGTGAAGGAGGCACGTTGGATGGGAATCCAAGACCAGGAAACCCCACAACTGTACCACCACCCCTGGCTGGAGAGGACAGCAGCTCCTCATCCACTGCATACCATCCTGGCTTCACAAGAATCTGGAAACAAAATTTCTTTATAATCTTCTATGATTTTTAACCACTTAACAATTTACTTTGAGCTTCACTTAGGCAGTGCATTTCTTTATATGCTAACTATTCCAAGTGTAGTTTGGGCAGGTGTCAATTGAAGCAGTTGATTCTTGTTTGCACAAACATACACTTGTATGTCTATTAATTTGATATATATCAACTATTTTTACATACTTTTTATTTAGAACATTGTATGTCTTTCATATTTGTTTCTAGTGAAATCTAGTTGTAATTATTTTGTTTTACCAATTTATTTTCTAATTATTTTATTTGTGAAAAATAATTTTGTTCTACTATCTATAAAAACTTTTTTTTTAATACTTTTTAAAAAAAATTATTTATTTGTGTGTATGTGTGTGTGTGTGGCCAGCTCAGCCCACCAGGGGGCAGGGTGGCTGGCATGTGGTGCTGGAGGATTGAACCGTGGTCTCTGTGCTTTGTGAAGCTTGTTCTAAGTAGGTGCTTTAGACAACTGAGCCATCTCACCAGCCCTAAAAACTCTTATTGTAAGCAAATAATTTTTACACTTTTCTAAAACTCAATGATACTCTTTCACAATACAAAACAGACACGTTTGGGACACTGACACTGCCCAGAAAGGAAATGCCAAAAGACCTGCAAAACGAAACACTGAAAGAGAGAAATGCTAGCAGATCAGAGTGGGAAATCCGTGTTATGAAATGGAAAGACAAAAAAGGCATTTTCTTGTCAGCTGTTTATAATACAGGAATGATAGATCTTGAAAAAAGAAATGCAACTAAAAATTTCAGTAGTGGTTGGTGATTATAATTATTATATAGGTGGTGTTGACAGAGTTGATTGACATCTTACAAGGTAGCCTATAATCAAAAGCAAGAAAATATATTATTATAAAGTATATACGCACCTTCTGGACCAAACAATACATAAGTTGTTATTTGTTCAAAACAAAGTGATTTTAAAAAGTCATAATTTAGATCAGCTCTATAAAGACCAAATAATTGAAAAATATGAGATAGTGAGACAACAGCCAGGACATTCATCACCAATGTCTTCACCATGACATTCAGTGGGTAGACATTTTATTGAAATTATGCCACTCTCAGAAAAAAAGAAAAGGCCAAAATGACAGTGTGAAGTGTATTGTTCAAAGTAATCCTGGCTTCTCCTGGTCTTTTGCTTCTTGTCTTGCTCTATGATTTCTGTTCCACCATGTCATCATCAGCCATAATATGCTTGCCAGAGACAACCTCATGCCTGCACCATGCTCTTGAACCTCCAACATGATGAATTAAATAAACCTAATTTTTTTGTATACTAAAAAAGAAAAAAAGACAATAAACAAAAAAAAATTTAGAAAGAGATTAGATACTACTGTCCAGATTATAATGCTGAATTGTGTTCTGAATGTTTTAAGATATACCATGCACAAAAAAATTATTGAATAATTTTATCAAATAATAATTGATAAATTGTTACTTTTTATTTCCCATTATATTATCTTACAAAAATTAGTGAAAATATATGATTTTTGGCCATTCTGTATTTAAATAATTGGACTGGTAAATGGTTAAACACTTAGAACTGCTTCAGAATTTCAAATAAGGTGCTGTGCAGATTGAATCACACCTGCAGAGAGGGCATTGGGCATCATGGCATCTGTGGAGAGGCTTGCTCTTTCCAGATGTTTAAGTATAGAAAAGGGAAGGATATAGGGCTGAAGAAGAAAAAGTGGATTATCTTTTTATTATTTTCTTCATTTAATCTTTTTTCTTTTTGTGTATAGGGTGGTTACAAACATGTTTAAATGCAGACACATAGGAAGGATTCCAGAAAGAAGGAGAGGACAAAGGTGCAATGAGTGGGGAGGAGGGGGGAGAGGGAGAGAGAGAGAGAAGAGAATATGCAGGATGAGCCACAGTATGGTGGGGAGAAGAGGCAGCTTTGTGGGGAAGAAGGACCTCATGTCCTGTGCATGCTGACCTGTTGAGAGAGGAAACTCTATTCTGACTCTTACACCTGGTCCTAGTGTGACATCTACCTCAGGGATGAAGAGGTACTTGGATAATTAGAATTTTGAAGAAAATAAACTTTTAAGTCGGAGTTTTCTGAGTTTATTTTTTCTGTCTTTGTTGTGGCTGTTGTTAGTTGTTTTTATTTTTTGAGACAGGGTCTTGCTATATAGGTCAGGTTGGCCTTGAACTGATTACCAAGTCCAGGGTGACCTGGAACTCATGATGAAACTCCTGCCTCAGTCTCCCAAATGCTGAAATTAAAGGTATCTGCCACCACCATACCCAGCTAGAGTTTTCCAATTTTAAGATGCAACTAGATAGAAATTCATTTTATCTAGTAAAAAACAAGGAAACAAAATAGGTATGCAAGGCTGCAAACTCAGGTGAAGGGGCGCCAGGGAACTTCCAGGAGCCTCAGGCATCCCAATTGTGTGATTTGCTCCAGTGGAGAAAAACACGTCCTGAGCCTTACCTTTCAAATGCCTTGTACAATTTATGTCCCTATATATGGAGAATGAGTATATTCATTATCATCTGTTAATTGATTTTGTGTTCTTAGGTCACCACTGAAATACTGGGATCAGAAGCTTCCACAGAAACTTCCCCCATTAAAGGAACCGATGATCCTTACTAGTCTTCCTTTACCCGGATATCTGGAACAGGTTAGGGGAATAAAGGGTGCCTTCTTTTTAATAGTTATTTTCATTTTTGCAGCAATGAATTTCAATGATTTCTGAGGGTTTTTTTTTTCTGTTTTTGTTGCTGCTGTTGTTAGTTGGTTGTTACTGTTTTGTGAGACAGGGTCTTGCTATATAGGTCAGGCTGGCCTTGAACTCACTATGTAGCCCAGAGTGTCCTGAAACTCATGGTGAAACTCCTGCCTCAGTCTCCCAAATGCTGAGATTACAGGCGTGTGCCACCTCCACACTCAGCTAGTTTTCCAATTTTAAGCTGCAAATCTCTTAAACTACTATGTTCATGAGTGGTTGCTAAAATGTATGAAAGGCACCTACTTTTATAGATAATTCCTAAGTATCTTCACTAAATAGAAAAGAGCAGGTGATTTTAAAATTATTTATATTTGACTTGGATGGGTAGTTTGGATCCTATTTTTTATTTGGAGTGATTATAAAATATTTCTATAATTTGAAATGTGCAGATTCAGTCTCTAAGAGGTTAAAACACTGCTCAAAAAGAGTTGCAGGGACTGGCCAGATAGCTCAGGGACTGGGTGCTACCACACCCAGTTTTGGTGCCCAGCTCTGTGCACACAGGTTGGGGCTGGCACAGCATACAGTACTGAGAATCAAACACAGGTCTTTGTATTTGTCTAAACAAGCACTTAGACCACGTAGATATCTTCATAGCCTGGGAGCACTCTTATAGAGGGCAACTTTTATCGGAAGGGGCTCTTATCATCTTTGGAGCCCTAGGAACTGCTTCAGTGACACTGTGGTCTCTGGAGTTCTGTGTCCAGTGGTCAAGGATCTTCATGGCAGAAAGCAGACCAGCCAGTTCTAAGAACAGAAGGGGATATAAGTCGATAACTTGATGTCTAAGTCCCACTTCTTTCCTTTTTAATTTTTTGTGATATAAAATGCCACTTATATACAAATAGAACTGCGTAATGAAGCCCAAGTGATAATCCATCAATCAGCTATCCCCAAGCCATTTTGCACTTCACTTTTCCTAATCAAATATTTGTTGTGTTTCTTTCCTGTTGTTTAATCTTTATAAGCCTTATCACCAACCCCAAGGAGGCTATTTGAGGCAAGGAATTAGCTATTATCTAATGCACTGAAAAACCAACTCCAATGTATACATGGTTTTAAATTTTTTCCTACATGCAGGGTATTGCAACTTCTCTAATTAAAGCAATGAATGCAGCAGGGTGTATAAAACCCAAATTTCCCTTCTTAAGTATAAGGAGATCTGCACTGCTGTACATAGCATTTCATCTAAAAGGTATGCACATATTAGTGAAACACTGCTCAGAACTAATTTAGCATTAAATGTAGCATATGTATTAAATAGGGTTGTTAATCTCAGGTGTGTGTGTGTGTGTGTGTGTGTGTGTGTGTGTGTGTGTGTTTTTCCTGGAAAATGTAATACAGGGCATATTAATAAAAATATGAAAGCTGAAATGCTGGTTTTAAGAGTAGGGACTATAACTAATACATTTAGCATTCCATAATCCATGACATACAGAAGGTGAATACAGGCAATTACAATGTTAAGAGACTAGTACTCCGAAAAGAAAAACATGGGAAAAGAAAGACAAAATGGGAACAAAACTTTGTAAATAAGAAGACAAAGAGGGATTGAAGGGAGAGAAGCAGAATGTGGGAAAAAAATGTACCAAAATATATTATTTGCGAGTACAAATTCCTTATGATGAATGTATATCTAAATTGTACTACTAAGCTTAATTTTAATAAATAGAAAAACCCTCCAATCTTATCTGGAATGTTCAGCCAATAGCTGTACAACTCAGTCATATACCTAAATTCACTTTCTCTTTTTCATTTAATGACTTACTAACATGTAGGAAATATTCATTGTTCTATGGAATTTTTGACAGCATTCAATCCCAGAGGTTCTGAATATACAAGAAAGAAGTATAAGAAGAAGATGGAGCAGTTTATGGAGAGATGTGAACTCATAACATACCTCAGTGCCAACATGACCAGAAAATACAAGGAGCCTCAGTTTAGAGCCATTGACTTTGATCACAAGCTACAGACCTTTCTTTCTCTCAGAAATTTAGACCCGGCTAGGAGATAGTTTTTTTTTTACCATAGGCTGAATCTCATGTTACCTCCAAGTGACACAGGGAAACCAAGAGCAGTAGATCCAAGACTGTCCCCAACTCACTGCTCCTGAGTGATATTACAGGGTTGTCTGACTTCAGAAGGACTCAGGCTGGCCAACCAGGACAGAAAGCTCCTCTGCAAGCGTGGGTTTTGAAGTTTGATACTCTTTGCCTGAACTTTGATTCTTGAAGAAAACAAATATTCCACTTATAATTCCATTAAGGATAACTTCTAATAAATTTATTTTCCTTTTTAACATTTTAATGGAAAAATCAGTCTCTGGTAAGGAAAATTTTTTTCTTTTTCTTTTTTGATGGAACCGGGTGTTGAACTCAGGCCCTTGTGATTGCCATGGAAGTACTTGTTCTATTTAGCCATCTCCCTGGCTCCTAAGGAAAATTTTTACTCATTAAATTTTATAAAGCTTCAAGAAACAAAATTAATATTGATATAAATAAAACAAATATTATGCTTTTACATAAGGAATTATAAACTGTTTGAACTTAAGATGCTATCATTTTCCTAACAAAATAAAAGAGTTTTCAGTACCTGACAGTTAGTGCCTTCTTTAAAAAATTCACTGAAGCATGTTTTATACATTATTTTATATTTAGAAATTACCTGGAGTTTAAATAGTTGAATGAAACAGGCTGGCCAGAGAGCTCAGTGGACTAAAGCACCTGCTTAGGCAGGTGCAGGACCAGGGTTCCATCCCAGGTGTGCTGGGCCGGCCCATCTCTGGGGTGTGTTGAGACATTGATTGAGACTCGACATGGTGATGCATACCTGTAATCCCAGCACTTGGGAGGCTGAAAACAGGAGGATCATTATGAGTCCAATCTGTGTAGTGAGACCCTGTAGATCCTGTATGAAATACATTTAAAAAATAATAATAATAAAATAAAAATAAATAGAAAGTTGAAATCTAAAGAATCTTATTGTATGGCATCTGTAAAGAACTATAGACTAGAGATCAGGTGTAGTGACACATACCTGTTAACCCAGCTACTTTACAGGCTGAGGGCCATAAGTTTGAGGCCAGCAGAGTCTGCTTAGTGAGACCATGTTCTGAAGTGAAATAGGGATGGGGATGTAACTGAGTGGTAGAGTACATGTAGAACACACGTAAGGACCTAGATTTGCTTCTTGGTACTGTAAGAAAAATAAGGTATGCATTATAGAAAATCTTCATTGAATTTGGGATGTACAAATAAGATTTAATTTCATAGTTGCTGTGTAAAAAATCTAGACATTTAAAAAGTAAAACTGGCTCTCTTAAAAAACTTTAATGACCATTAATTATGTAACCTTGAGTAAATCTCAACTTTGAACCTTGTTTTCTTAATCTCTAAATAATTTAGCTCTGGGTCTTACAATTTCACTAATGTTAATTAAAAACTAAAAGAAACCTGTTGTATAGATTTTTAAAAATATATTTCACAATAAAATAATTTTAAAACAACATGTAGACCCCTGTTATCAATGTGAGAGCAAAGCCTTTTGAGACTGAGAGTTGCCTATAGCTACAAAGTTTTGCTGATGACTTATAACCTCCCTTATAACTATTTGTCCCTTTTTTCTTTTATTTTTTTTCAGTATCAGGGATTGAACTCAGGACCCTGTACTTGCTTATTCTGTTGAGCTATCTCCCTGGCCCCTCTCTCCCATTTTTTAACATTTGTAATATACTAACTTCACTAGACTACATCCTACTAGTTTTTTATTGTTTATTTTTCATTTTTGGTTCTTGTCATCAACCTCAAGGCCTTTTGTACTCTAGTGCACTCTAGGTAAGAACCCTGCTACAGAGCTACAACCCCAACCCTGGATTATTCGTGTGTGTGTGTGTGTGTGTGTTACTAGGAATTGAAACCTGGACCTTTGCACTGACCTACATCCCCATCCTATATATATTTTTTTTTGAAAATCTTGCTAAATCCCTGAACTTCCTGGGTTGGGTTCAAACCTATAATCCTCCTGCATCAGCCTCCCAGAGTGCTGGGATTATAGGTATCCACCACTGCTCACATTAACATACTATATTTCATTGTCTAGGATGATTTTTGAGTAAGTGTCCTACTTACCTGTTTTCTCTTTGGGAATTAACTGTCCCTTATTTCTTCAAAGGAGGAAACTTAGTTCTTGAGCTGAGCAGAGGATGAAATGCCACGTGCTCTCTTGTCCCTGCACAGGATCTCTTCCTCTTAGCAAATCTGCACAGCATCATGCAGGAGGTGGGATCTGTGGGTGTGTGGGAAATCAAACTCCCCAGAATATCCTAAGTTGTAGAAACTGCAGTTCCTCCCAAATGCAGCTGGTTACACACAAGAGCTCATCTTGGACAACTGTACACATGGCTATCATTTTCAGGCTGTTTGCCATATGTCAAACAGTAATTCACAATTCATGTTAGCCAAACTACTTTCCACATTGCTTTCAGGGATGTCAAAAACACAAATTTTGCTTCTTTACTATTATTTGGTATCATCTTGCTAGTTTTTGCTTCATTTTCCATGTGTGCAAAACTTAACTGTACTGGCTTTGAATTGAATTGAGACCAAGACCAGAGCAGATTAGAATTTGGAGAGCCTTTATTAGCTGGTCTAGTGGCCAGCCAGCTGCACTCCATGCAGGTCGGTGCTAACCAGCCACGCCCAGTGGAGTTGAGTTCAGTCCTTTAGAGCAAGCCTTGTTGATACAGCTGCAAGCTGTTCATGACTAGGAGGTTTTCACAGTTTTTAGCAATAAGTGGAACTTGCCCCAGATGGGGCCTGTTTACAGGATATGGTTAGGGTGGAAACACAGGAGCTGTGTACAACACTAACAGGCTGAAGGATCTGCACTTGAGCCAGGAAGCAAAGCTCAAAGGGCTAGAGCTCCCTGGCAGCTTTTCCCAATAGAAAAATAACAAGAGCCACATTGATTTCAACCCATTACAATAACTTTATTGCTTTAATTTGAATAGTGAGATTGAACATTATTTTATATGTTGATCAGAAGACCCACTCTTTTTGTGATTTCTCTTTCCCTCTGTATAATTTAAAATTATTTTTCATGACTTCTTTATGAAACATAGATATTAGATCCTAGTATCTAGAATAAATAAATCCTACATTTGCTATTATATGTGCTGCCAATACAAACATATTCTATTAGTTAACAAAGGAAAATCTGCCTATTATTTTTTTATGACTTTGAATAGTTATCTAAATTCTGGAAATATTTCCATCTCCAGAGAATTCATACATCTCCTATTGTTTTCTTCTCCTTTTTGTGTCTTTAAAATATGTCTATCTTTAGGGCTTCAAGAATTTATTTCAGGACATAATATGAGCTATGGTTTTAAATTATTCAAAACTCAAAGAGTGTAGTTTTAAAATATTTTAAGATTGAATATGCTTTTCAGTTTATTCTTAATTCACTTAAAATCTTACAAAGTTCAATGAATTTATTCAAATTTCATAAATTTCAATGAAGGGGAAAGAGTTCAAAAGTAGGAAATGAATGACAAATGTATTTTACATGTGATTAGCTCTGTGTATTTTTTTTTTTAGCTATGTGTAGTTTTGATTGATTTTCTTTCTTTTTTTATTTTAGGGAAGGGTCTACAAGGGTGTTCAGGGTCTCACTACTAGACTGGACTTGTAGTGATCCACCTGTTTACAGCCTCCCAAGAGCTGGGATTACAGGCGTGTGCCACTACAGCCAGTCTAAATTGCCATCTCAGTGCACCCTGGAGGTGGTGCTGGCATAGCAGTGATTTTCTTTTTTAATGCTTTTGTTTTTTCTTTTACAAATGAAGGCTGGGTAAATGTATATTTACAAAACTCAAGAGTCTTTCATTTTGGGTGATTCTGGGAAAAATTCTTAGAGGGATGATATCTGAATAAAATGGCCATTCAGAATCAAGACAGGTAGGGCTGGTGAGATGGCTCAGAGGTCTAAAGCGCCTACTTAGAACAAGCTTAGCAAAGCACAGGGACCGCGCGCGGTTCAATCCCCCAGCACCACATGCCAGCCAGCCAGCCCCGTCCCCTGGTGGGCTGAGCTGGCCACACACACACACACACACACACACACAAATAAATAAAATTTAAAAAAAAAAGAATCAAGGCAGGTAAAATTAGAGAAATTAATCAAAATTGAGGCGTTGTTTTGTTTTGGCAGTACTGGGGATTGAACTTGGGACCTTGTGCTTGCCTGGCAGGTGCTGATGCCACTGAGCAATCTCCCTGACCCAAAATTGAGATTTTTAACCAGGAGATGAAAGGCATTCCAAGATTTCACAATTACATATATTCACCAAACCTGTGTGTCAAGCATGTTGAACACTGCATAGTATATACAAGCGTGTGTATAGTCATAAGAACTGTACATTCTATGATAGGAAATAAAACTATGCAGATGTACATACCAATTGTGAGTATGCACAAGGTTTGGGACCTGAAAACTAGAGCACTACTGAATTAATACTTTACTTTTATTTTATTTTTATTTATGTATTTGGTACAGGGTCCCACTACGCAGCTCGGACTCGTAATGACTCTTCTGCTTTCAGTCTTCCCTGTGCTAGAATTACAGGCATGCACCATTACGCCTGGACTCGTTTGCCAGCTCAGTGCACCACAAGGGCAGGGTTGGTGCAGCATGTGGGACTGGGGATCGAACCCTGGTCCCTTCATTTATCAAGGCAGGTGCTTAGTCTCCTGAGCTATCTTGCTGGCCCAATATTTTACAATTCTTTATAAAAAGCCTTTGTTGGTATGAAAATATCAGTTATCCTTCTGTTTCCCTCAAGTTTCTTTAGGTTGTAATAAGGCTTGGACTATAATTTCTTTCCATGATAGTCATCTTTCAACTCTCACAGGGTGCACAAGTGTGTTTGATGCTTTTCTTCATGACAAACGATTTCTACCTGCTTTAAAGTTCCAGCTGATCATGGCCCTCTTCTTCCATCTACTACCATGGTCTTATACTCAATTTATCCTGAGGCTAGTAGGCCTGGGTCTCTGTTCATAAAGTTCTCAATTCCTGGAGCTTCTCCTGACTAGAAGAATTGGAAAGAAGGAGGAAGACTGGATTTGGATGAAGAGATAAAGTCAGGGTATCCCATGTATCTATCAGTATTCATTCTGCCAGTGATCTCTTAGAATAACTTATAATGTGTGCTCTGATAACTCCACTATTAATATCTCAAATTCTGTTCTCACCTCTAAACTCCAGAATTACCTATGACTGTCTACTCTGTCCCCTCATGGGTATCTA